TCCTCCACAACTAGACTGAAGAACAAAAGGACAGCAACTTGTCTGTTCCCCTTCCCCCAATTCCCCAGCGTTGTTCCTATCCCCCAATTCCCCAATAAAAATCTTAAAAAAAAAAAAAACGGAGAAAAGGAACAAGCTAGTAGGATCATCACGTGCTTGACAGATTTGTCAAAGGAGACTGGCACCAAAATATAAGGGAATACTGTCTGTCAGGCCTGACACTAATTGGTATATCTGAAGAAAAAAAAAGCTTACTGGGGGGGAAGTTTAAAGCTAAGAATCAAATGAAACTTCTGGATGTTCTGTGTGTGACATTTATCTGTGATGTCGTCTTTCTTCATGATCACAGACAATTGAGCTGCATGTGCAGAAAAACTGGCGGAAAAATCATTTTCCAAAACTGATACTATTGAGGGTTATCTGGTCTTTGTCCAAAGCGTCTGCAGAGCTTGGTGATACTGGTCTGAAAACTTGATTCCTTGTGAAAATAGGAACATTCCTGCGCCCAGGTTCTAAATAATAAAAGACACTGGGGGCCTTTTCAAAGTAGTTAAACTGACTGAAATTTCACTGGAAAACCCCTTTTTCAAACTAAGTTATCCATATGTGGCCTCTGCATGTTACTCCCCAAGAGCAGCTGGTAACTGCCAACTTCTGGTGGCTTAAGAAAGTGAGCCGTTTTCCACACTCCCAACCTATAAACCTCGGGATGTTTGTTCTGGGAGGTGTTTGGATGGGGGTGAGGCCCAGCTGGGTGGATTCCTTCCCGGACCCCCTTCTCTGCAGCCTGTCAGCATATTCTAGAAAATCATCAGTGTGTTCTAGAAAATCATTGCTGGTGCAAGTGATGATGGCAAGTCTGTCCCCTAAAAATCTCAGAGCCCATGAAGTTTGGTAAAAAGGGAGGTTTTGCTAAGTCTGCTCCCAAAACTTGTTCAATCAGCTCCATCATGTTGGAGCTTTTTACATGGTTCTTGGCACATTGCAAGGGTTTGGTCTTAAGTTCCTCTCCTTTTTGTCTACCCCCCACCTCTCCTCCAGTAACGAAGGTCTGAAGTGACTGAATGATAAGGCTGTGGGAGAAGGAGGGAGGGAAGTAAGTGACCTGGAAAACCCACAGGCCTGCAAATCAACGCATGGACAATCAGGAGTCCCATTTTTCATGGGTGTTTTTCCAACCCCCAGCCTCTTAAAGTGCAAACTGGGGTGCCATTTGCAAAATCTCTCCCATTTGATTAGGGATTTATTTTTTTTAATTCACAGATTCTTGAAGTAAAAAGATTGCTGGAGTGGGTTCTATGTCATCAGTGCAGGAACGAGAAAGTGAGCGGGGTCAAAGCCTCATTATCTGTGGCTTTGCAGGAGGCCAAGTGCCCCCACCACCATGGCACTGTTTGTCCCTTTCCCATTTCCCAAGGAGTGTGGGTTTGAGCTGGATAAGAGCAGTGATAGCTTTTTACAGGCAGTTATAACGGATTTCAAGAGAACTGTGCACATAGAGATTAGAAGAGCCAACTGTGGAGTCGAGCTCCCTGGGTTCAAATCTCAATGTTGCCACTTACCGGTAACTTTGGACAAATTGATTCAGTTACTTCATTTTTTCCATCAGAAAAATGTGGATCATAGTCTAGTCTTAGGGGGTTCTTCTGAGGATTAGATGTTAATAAGATGCCTGGAACATGGTAAACCTTCAATGAAAGTTAGTTATTATTCTCAGGCATTAAACTATTCAAAATAACGATACCATAATGCCCCATCCAGATTCTCTTCTTGACATTATCGTTTACGTATTGTCTCACCATCTGTCTGTGTCAGTCCTTCCCCATGTCTTTCTGGGTTGCGGATTCATTGAAGGCAGAGACTGGGTACTACCCAGTGGACACACAGCACTTAGCACGGCCCTGCTGGAAGGGTTACTCAGCTTGTTGAGTGAATTAATGAAGGCTTTAATAATAACTTATGTTGAGTGAAGCTTTGCAGGATCCCAAGCACGCACCTAAGGGAAGCCTGAGACTCCAAGTTTAAGACACTTGCCTGAGGTCCGGGGACTGGTATATGCCAGACTCAGGGCCTATGTTTCTTGCCCCGTGTTCCTTCCACCAAACCATCTGCCCAGGGAAAAAATGCTGAGTTCTACCACTCAGGGTCATGTCTTTCTTTGATTCTGCTCTATTTGACATACTGTGGGCACCTGTGACAGCGTTCTGTGAGTAGGTGCTCAGTCCCTCTGAGGAAGACGTCGTTTCTGCACGCCTTTTAACTCTGCTTGATTTTGCACAGGTCACCACGAATGGCCTCATTGCGATGAGTGAACCCCCAGCTGAAGAAGCTCATCCTGGGCTCTTCCCTCCAACTTTCGGGGCAGTGGCACCTTTCCTGGCAGACTTGGACACGACAGATGGCCTCGGGAAGGTTTATTATCGAGAGGACCTTTCTCCCTCTGTCACTCAGCTGGCAGCAGAGTATGTCCAGAGAGGGTTCCCAGAAGTCTCTTTCCGGCCCAGTAGTGTGGTGGTTGTCACCTGGGAATCGGTGGCCCCCTACCAAGGACCCAACGAGGACCCTGCCCAGGAAGGCAAGGTGAGCACTCACCCAGGTACCAGTGCAGAGAGTCTCACGGGTTGGTTTGGTGCTGTTTGGTCTGATTTGTGCTGGTCTGATGTACATCATGCTATGTCATTCATAAAGACAGGACATCAAAGCAAAATCTAGTAGGCTGGTTATTGCAGGTCCAAACCTTCCGGTGCCTTATCTACAAGGCCATAAATCTATATTTCAATGATAATTAGATGAGAGAAAGCTAGATTCTGAGAAGATTGCTACACGGCAAAAACAGGGTTGATAAACTCCATTCCTTAGATGCTCTCACTTTGGGTCGGATAGGAAGAAGTAGTTTCTAGTTAAATAGAGATGTTATTAATATGAAGTGATTGGTTAAAATAACAGTAGTCCTGATGGATATAAAGAAATAAAGATAAGGCCTGCACTCTAGTTGGGTAGACAAAATCCACATGCACTATGTGAATGGTTCAGAACACAAGTTCAATCATAATACAACGGTGGGCATCTCTGTAGCACAGAGGTCAGGTAGGGCTGTAGGTGTGCTCAGGTTGGACTTGCCCTTGAAGGAGGGGATATCTGAGTAGGTCAAGAAGCCTTCTGTATACCTGAAGGGACGCTTTAAGACATGCCTCAATTTCTCCTTGGAAAAATAATTTTGCTCCACCACTATTTAATTTTCATAGGATTACAGGGTAGGGAGAAACTCGAAAGCTCCCCAAACACTCTATTTAAATGGAGGATGTTCCAACCCGGTAGTTCCCAAAGTGTGTATCTTGGAACACTAGTCCTACAAGATAGTCCTTGAGAAAAAGGCGTCCCCTGAAGAAATTAGTTTGGGAAATGCTAAAACTATTGTTCCCTCTTGGTGGCTCACTCTGAAAAGTCCTGTAGTAAAGAAACCTGCTTAATTTTGTTCAGCTTGGCAGCCCCCCGCCAGCCTTTTGGTCACCCCCTTTTCCCCTCCCAAATAAGACACATTATATCCCACAGAACACACTTTGGAAAAGTCTGTTGTGGGCCTACATGACACATTTTGCTTTGTCACCTGTATCTGTCTCCTGTATCTGCCTGAGTGCTGTACTTGAAAACTGCTTAAAGCCTTAAATTTTCCCAGGGTGTGCCGCTTTTCCCTGCATGATAAATATCCAGCCCCCCATGTAGAGCCCACACCTGCCTCTGGGGTCTGATGTCCTCTGACCTTTACTTCTCTTTACACCCAGCAGCGGCTGCACCCAGTAGTTTGCAATTCCCTGATCATTGCAATTGTTGCGGTTCTTACCTGCAGTGTCTTGCCCTTGGGATAGACTGCTTATTCTTTCAGATTCAGCCAGCCTCCCCTGCGCCCAGTGTCCGGCATGTCCTGTGGCTCCTATACTCTTGCACACAACTCTGTTACAGAATCTTTTCCCCGGGTTTGCGATGTGTTGTTCACATTCAGTCTTCCCATCTAGAGTGTAACTTCTCAAGTGCAGGCACCATGTCTTTTTACTCTTCATATCCACGTGCTCAGGGCAATGCTTGGCACACAGGAAAGGCACTAACATTTAAACAATACTTTCTCTGTGCCTGGACAATGTTACCGCATGTCGTCCTCCTACCATTTCTATGAAGTAGGTGGTTTTATCTGCATCTGATGCAGAAACCAAGGCTTAGAGGGCTTAAGTAACGTGCCCAAGGTCACACTCCAAGGACGAGTGAGGGTTTGGATCCAGAGCTGTTTTCTCCCACAGCTCATGCTCCTTCTTACTGAATAGTGGCTAGACTCAGTAAATATATGCCTAATGATGGGTGTGGTTGAATATGTGTAATGGCCATGGAAACAAATTTTAAGGGTCAGAATTTGCTAAGTTATATGAGATTTAGGCCACTGTCTGGAGGTACTGTCTATCATTTTTGGTTAACCTTAGGACCACAGTTATGCAGAAGGTTTTCATTAATTAATTAGAAAATTGCATGTTGACATATTTAGAGATATTTAAGTGGAGTTATCCTGGAATACTTGGTCCTTGCTACAAAAGTACTTCTTTTAGAATAAGTCGAGAATACTGCCTTCTCTATATTTTTTATATATAATCTGGTGAATAGCACATTTTAAGATCTGTAGATATTTTCCTGAGTAACTGAATTTTCATTCATCTTCACAGAGAAACACATTCCAGGCTGTTCTGGCCTCCTCTGACTCCAGCTCCTACGCCATTTTCCTTTATCCTGAAGATGGTCTGCAGTTCACGACAACATTCTCAAAGAAGGATGAGAACCAGGTTCCCGCAGTGGTTGCGTTCAGTCAAGGTCAAGTGGGACTCGTATGGAAGACCGACGGAGCTTTTAATATATTTGCTAATGACAGAGAATCAATTGGAAATTTGGCCAAGTATGCTTCTTTGTTCTTCAGTAGAGTCTCCCCTTAATAAGATTATCACTTTATTATTTTACTAAGGATAATATAATGGGCATTACAGAACATTACCTAAAAATGTTCCCACAGATTTAAATTTTGTATATATAGTCTTTATATTATATAGTGTATTTTTCTGATGAACTCAAGGGAACACACTCTTAGAATGAACAGGTATCTTACTTTTTAGATATACTCCTGATGGGAAACAGTTTCTACCGTCTCCACTATGAGTATAAGGTTAGAAATAATTATTTAAACCCATCGCTTGCCATGATCCAAAGGCTAAGAAAACCCTTTTCCCCCTACATTAACGAAGCAGGAAATTCTTACAACAGAAACAGTGCCCTCTTGGGCTATTTTGTATAATTTGGCAAAAAGAAGGAAAGCTCAGACTGCTTTTTCAAAAATTAAAATCCTTTCTTTCCCATTATTCTTTAAAATATAAAAACACCCCCCCCACACCCCAATTTCATATTGTCAAATTGATTCTAAAGCTCCTCTGCCCTTTACTTAATGGTGGGCTGGTATAATAGATACAAACAACTGGCTTTACAGGGGTTGGGGGAGCCCTCATTTACAGCATTTGCTTATGTCCGTGGTGTACATACTCCAGCTGTTCATGTCATGTCGTTCAATGTGGAGCTGAGAAAAGATGGAGTTAAGTGGAGTTATCCTGGAATAGTTTCATATAGTATTCTCACCACACATGCAATAGCCTTAAATAACTTCAAGAACATAGATAATAGTAACATAATTTAGACGGAATGAGTTTTGAGTTTTTATTGCCTTTTTCAAAATATAACTTATTAATTGTAAGTTTATATAATTTAATTTTTTACAATGACTGTGTTTACTAACTTGTTTGCAAAGTTCCTAAAATTTAACAGCCAGCTCTCATGAGCCAGTGCAAGCCAGTTCCTGCACTCCACCTGACTTTACGTGAGGCCTTTACTTTGACTGGACGTCCTATTTCTGTTGGACTTTATTGATTCCTCTTCCTCATCCCACCCCAATTTTTTGCTCAGTGTTCTCCACCGAGTAATGTATGTCCCTTCTTTCCACTGTGTAATCTGATAGGACCAGTAAAAATGGGGCAGCAAGAAGTACAGATTAGGGATTTTCTACTGTGTTTTATAATTATAAGATGCCTTTAGAGTCTGAATTTCATCTGTATTTCACTATACCCTTTGAGCGTAAAAAGGTAAACCAGGATTGTCCAAGATTTCACAGCTCATAGAGCTGGGATTTCTAATAAACCAAGTCTGTACTGTTTTTGCTCACACTTCTGACACCAAATATGTGGGGGTTTTTTCTCCCCACACCAACAAATTCTCCCACACTCCAGACTCCAACCAGTGGTCCTACAATTCAATTCGATTCTGGCATTAACTGCCTGGAGTTAGCACAGACCCCACAGGTGAGGGGCTCAGTCCCACAAGACGCACCCACTTCAGACTCCAGTCATAAGTCTAGTCATAAGGCAGTTTGCAAGCTTCCCCCACCGCTTAGATTTGGTAATTTGCTAGAACAGGTCACAGAACTCAGGAAAGCACTTTACTTACTGTTACCAGTTTATTATAAAGACACAACTCAGAAACAGTCAAATAGAAGAGATGCGCAGGGCAAGACGAGGGAGGGGAGGGGACACGGAGCTTCCATGCCCTCTTTGGCTGTACTACCCTCCTCACACCTCACGCTCTCCCAACCTCATCCTTCAGAGGTTTTTATTACATAGGCAAGGTAGATTATAACACTGGCCACTGGTGATTAACTCAGTCTCCAACCCCTCCCCTCCCTGGACATCCATGCGTGGGGCTGAAAATTCCAACCCTCTAATCATGCCTTGGTCTTTCTAGTGACCAACCCCCATCCTGAAGCTCTCTAGAGTCCCCAGTCACTAGTCACCTCATTAGTATACAAAAAGACACTCAACACTCTAGAGATTATGCAGATTTTATCTGTGTGCCAGGACCGGAGACAAGACCAAATACAGTTGACCCTTGAACAACATGGGTTTCAACTATGCAGGTCCAATTATAAGTGGATTTTTTTCAATGAACACTGTAACTGTATTTTTTTCTTCCTTATGATTTTTCTTAACATTTTCTTTTCTCCAGCTTATTTTATTGTAAGAATACAATATCTAATACATATAACATATAAAATTTGTGTTAATCAGCTGTTTCTCTTATAGGTAAGGTCAATAGTAGGTTATTAGTAGTTAAGTTTTGGGGGAATCAAAAGTTATACATGGATTTTTCATGGTGTGGGGTTTGGTACCCCTAACCCTCACATTATTCAAGGGTCAACTGTGTATATTTCTTATATCACACCATGCCATGGAAAGAGAGTAATGGAAACAATGAATGACTCCAGTTAACAGGTTGCTCATCTGTCCGGGCATATGACCAGCAATTAGTATAAGCAGCATTTTAAGGCCTGGCAAGTGTCCCTGGAGTGCACCTCTCCAATGGCAGAGGGTAAACCTTTGTTAGTCTGTCCTTTTGGACATAGCCTCACCAAATAGCCCTGGATGGCCTTAACTCTCTGATGACCAGACATGATGTCATCTGCCCTCCCATTTTCTAGCCTAGTGGGAGGCAGAAGCAGGTACTGGGTTTCATAGGGACACTTCTGCTTGGTTAGTGGGGGCTCTTGGTGGGCTGCTGGCTTATTTCCAAAAAGTCTGTCCTTTCTTTTAGGAGTAGCAACTCTGGGCAGCAGGGTATCTGGGTGTTTGAGATTGGGAGTCCAGCCACAGTCAGTGGTGTGGTGTCCTCGGATGTGAACCTCAGACCGGACGATGGAGAAGAGTATGACGATGAAGATTATGACTCGGTGACAAGTCTGGGCCCGGAGGATGTGGGCACCACAACCTTCCCCTATGAGGCTCCGAGAAGAGGAGACACTGGCACATACAACATGCGCAGAGTCCTCTCCCCCCGCCGCCTGGTCACTGAGAGACCTGCTGGACCTTCAACCGAGAGGACCAGGTCTTTCCAGTTGCCCGTGGAGAGGTTCCCCCAGCAGCAGCCGCAGGTCATAGACGTGGATGAAGTTGAGGAAACAGAAGTTGGTAAGGTGGTTGAAGTTGCAGTTGGTACATTCTTGGACACTTGGGTTTCCAGACAGAGGACAAGTGCTGGAGGGGTGTCTGCTGTGTACATTCTATGGTGGCTTGTGAGGACGAGAGCGTGGGAAGTAGGGCGAGAGCTCACAGCTGTAGAGCTTGACAGGCCCCCATGGCTTCAAAGGCTCTAGTGATCTTTTGGGATTAGGGCTATGGTTATAGAGACTGTTGAGCGTGTCCTCTTTCAAGTATCCTATTATTCCTTTTGTCTGTTTTAAAGAGAAAAGTGGTTTTGGAATTATTTTGCAAGGCAGATTTTCTTATTTGCAACTTCTGAGATCAGAAATATATTCATCCACCTGAAAAAACATTTTAGAAGTTCCTTTGGCCGTTGATGCATTTATTTTTGACATTTATTTACTCTTGGTTTTGGAATGAGAATGGTTGATTATTTTTCCTCCCAGTTCCTGTCAGTTTCAGAGTTGGTTTGTGAAGATTTAGAAATACCAGATAAGTAGACCCTCTTTTTAAATGTAGTTTTAAAGTATAATATCTTGTAGTCAACCATATTACGTGTATATCAGATTTTTGCTATATTTTGAGGGGAAACCATTTGAACCCCATCATGCTTTGATTTGTCTTGTAAAAGACATTCAAACTAAACTGTGTTCATTAATTTTTTTTAAACTTTATTGGGGAACAATGTGTTTTTTCCAGGACCCATCAGTTCCAAGTCAAGTTGTTGTCCTTCAGTCTTAGTTGTGGAGGGTGCAGCTCAGCTCCAAGTCCAGTTGCCATTTTCAATCTAGTTGCAGGGGGCGCGGCCCACCATCCCATGCAGGAGTTGAACCAGCAACCTTGTTAAGAGCACACGCTCTAACCAACTGAGCCATCTGGCCGCCCATCAGCAGTTCAGTGGAGCTCAGCTCTAGTCATTGTCTTCAATCTATTGAGTTGTCGGAAAAGTCATGATGTATTTTTTCTATGTTTTTCGTTGCAAAAATGCATCATGACTTTTTCGACAACCCAGTAATTGTGGAGGGCGCAGTTCAATGGCCCCTGTGGGAATTGAACTAACAAACTTGTTGCTCAGAGGACATGCTCTAACCAACTGAGCCACCTGACAGCCCCTGTGTTTATTAATTTTTGCTCTTCAGGTTGACATATACTCCACTGAGATTCATATAAATGGGATGGTCCAACCTTGAAATGATGTTTACTATGACTCTACTCTTTCTACTTTGAAGTTATGATAAGGCCCTCAGAAAAATCTACTCCATTCCACATATTCACTCATTTTTATTTCTCCTTACTTGTTTTGATTTGTTTCCTAACAATAGTCATACATGTTTATTCTTCTTGAGTATCCCAAAGAAGCATGGACAAGATCTGGGGCACAGGGGTGGTGTGCTTACTTACTTCTAAGGCACAGAAATAGAGACGTTGCCCTGTGGTGGCATGACGAGGTTGTGGGTCCATGTCTCGGGTCTCCCCCTGCCCACACTGCACCTGAGATTTCCTCGGGTGATGCTGACATCTCTTAGTGTATGGCACTCTGCTCTTGGAACTAGGTTTCAGAGGGATCTCTTCAGATATGTTGAGTATGTTTACTTGCATATATTGAGTTTTAAGCTTTCACCCTATCTATATGTCTCTGAAACTCTCCTTTGTGAAGTCATCACGTTGAAATGAGATTGTACCTAGCCCCAACAACTAGGCAGTACTGAAAGCCTAGCTTTGAACCCATGTGTCTAAAACAGATGTTTTTCTGTCCCTCTATCCCATTTATTTCACTGTTTTTTATTAGAAAGATCAGCCTTCCGTAACCAGCAGTGCATTCCTGGTGTTATTTGAGTAGTCACCCCCAGGTACACAGGCCATGGGGACCCACTGGGAGCTGGGCCCGCAGCTGGAGCTGAAGCAATCAGTAGTGAAGGTCACATGACTCCAGTTCCGGGTCCAAGCGTTTCTAGCTCCAAACGCCATCTTTCTACATACTGGCAATTCCCTTCTGAGCATGTGGGACTCATTGAATCTTCCTGGGTTAAACTTTACTTTTATCTTCATTCCTACCAATTATACATTGGATAACTGTCCCCTCTACAAGTTTATCCCCTCTTGTGCTTTTGAGCTTCATTCCAAATTAATTTTCTCCGGATTATTAAGTGTAATGAGTTAGTTCCCAATTTTAATAAATTGAACCTGGGAGGTAGAAATTTGAAATAGGCAGAATTTTTTTGTTTGTTTCTTGGGCCAAAGGCTTTTAGACCAGGATTGACTGAGGAATTATTTCTAATCAGCTTTTGAGTATAAGAGCTTCTGAGTCATCCTCTGTGGAGAAGAGTGGGGCGAAAATTTTAAAAAATATTTTAGGTTATTGAAACGGCAAATTTTATGTCATATATATTTTACCACAATAAAAAACAGTAAAAAAAAAATTTAAGGTTCCCCCCCAAATGTAAGCTGATCTTTCTGACTGAATTGAATGGACACCATATTAAGATTGATATTAGATGGCATAATGCCATATTGATGCAGTGATCCTGAGGACACTGGATTATAGCATTTTTAAATAATTCACCTCTGTGATTCTCAAACCCCTGTTAGCCCCATTTTCCATGGTGGTTTGAGTCTTGGAGCCCCCATGCTGTCTCCAGTCCCTGACCCACCCCAGCAGATGTGAATTCATTCTGCAGGGCTGGGCGCTCTGTGGGCCAGCTCCCAGTCCAGAGCTCAGAGACACGCTCACTATGCACTATGTTTTCTCTGAGCAGTTTTCAGCTACAACACGGATTCCCGCCCTACGTGTGCCAACAGCAGACACCAGTGCTCCGTGCATGCAGAATGCAGGGACTTCGCCACCGGCTTCTGCTGCAGCTGCGTCGCCGGCTACACGGGGAACGGCAGGCAATGTGTTGCTGAAGGTACTCTGCTTTTTTATGTTCGATTCGTTGGGGAAGGAGGACTGGTGGAGTTTCTGTTTCGGTGCTTGTGTCCAAAGGTTGCCTCTACCCAGATCTCTAAAGGTCGATGTTGTGTCTACTGGGGCGAAGCTATTGAATCTCTCATTCTTTCTCATACTTCAAATGGGAGTTCCTAGGGGAGGTCTCTTTCTTTCCTGTGCCATTTCTCTATCTCAGAAATGACTGCCACTGGGAGCCCATCTTCACAACTGCCTGTAGCACAGGACAAAGGCGAAAGTGATGACATTATGCAGCCTGGACCAGGAATTGTTGATGCCTCTCATTTTCCTTGGTTTCTTTCAAGCCTCTTAGTTGGCATTGCTCACAGCAGGTCCATGGTGGGCTGGCGTAGACCAAAGTATATACTGAGTGACATCTGTTCGAGTCCCCCATCCCCTTGGGTTTTCCTTTCCTCATGCCCCTGAAATCATAGCATGGTGATGGTGGAGCATATGGGGTGCGCCATAGCTAATTCCAGAGCACTCGACCCATTGTGGGGCTAATTCCAAAATGGATTCAGCTGTAGGGTGACATCACTTCTGAGCTCTGCTCCCCAAAGCACCAAGCAGTCTCAATGCTCTCAGATGGTCAGAAGAATCTTCTCTGCCAAAGTCTCGGGGGTCCGGATAACAGTTTACTCAGAGTGAGCCCTAGGGGAGCCTGGGGCCATAAACTTGAATGGAAACAAAAGCAACAAAAGCCCTACCATACTATTTGTCCCTTCAGATGCCAAGTCACCTCACTTGTCACTGGTCATTTTTCTGGTGTTTAGTGAGGAACCTCTATTGCTTTGCAAAATTTGACTAAATGAAACTCAGTTGGAAGAATGTGTCCTGTTTTCCAGGTTCCCTGGAATCTATAGTCAAATCAATTATTTTAATTTGCTCTGTAAAAAAAAAAAAGTTTTCTTCTAGGTCACAATTAGATAAAGTGAGTTTTGTTAAATATTTACTTTGGCAATGGAAGAAAATTTGTATACTTATCATGTTAATTTCACTTCTATAAATGTGTTTTCCTCTAACTCCCACCACCCAGGGGTGGTATGCCTATGCTTCTTTGTTTTAGGCTTGGCTTTTATACTGTCCAAACCCTGGGAGATGCTTCCAAAATCCCCACAAAAGCTTATTCTCAAAGAGCAACCTCATTAGCTCTTCCCGTGCCACATATCAGAGCTGGAAATACTGAGCAGTGTGTCTGGCAGCAAGCTCAGATATGATAAACTGTCTGGCCCCACACTTTGATATTATATACATGCCCCGTAAGAGTTTCATAGTCTAAATATTTGTTGGATTCTTGGTACTTTTGGAACATTTTTCTTGCTCAATATTGGGTTGGAAAAAATTGTTTGGTTTCCTTAACTTGGCTTTCTTGTGCATTTTTGTAATTGTTTGGGAATACATTTTTTCTATATTAGTCTTTCAATTTCATAGCATTCTTCAGTATCATGACACAATATGTGTGCAGAAATACTTGGTATGTCATGTGGCTTTGGCTTGCCGGCTGCCCTGTTAGCAACTCGGCATCCTGAACACAGCAAAAGGTCTTCAGAATGTGGGGGACGACGCCCAGTTACAAGTCTGTCTGTCTAAGGTTATTCAACAACTTTAGTGGCAACTCTGTGCTCAGAAAACTGTGCTGAAACTAAGGGAGGGAGTTGGGTGTGAAAGCCTGTCCCTAGTAATTTCTAACCTGGATAGAAAAGAAGACATGTACAGTCAGTAACTGATAGAATTTAATCTACATCAAACATGAACAGTCCACAGTGATTTATTTAGCTCTTCCTTCAGTTTATTTAAGGATATAATTAACACACTTGTTTAAAGAAGACAATTGGGTGATTTTTAGTGTATTCACTAAGTTGTGCAACTGTCATCTCTAAGTAGAACATTTTCGTCACTCCAGAAAGAAATTCCACGTCCATTAGCAGACATGCTCAGTTTCCCCAAGTCCCCTAGCCCCTGGCAGCAACTCATCTGTTTTCTGTCAACATGGGATTTTCTGTTCTGTACATTTCATGTAAACGGAATCATACAATTTGTGACCTTTTGTGTTGGGCTTCTCACTCAGCATAATGTTTTCAAGATTCATGTATCAGTGCCTCAGTCCTTTTTTCTGGCTAAATAATATTCCATTGCACGAATATACCACATTTCATGTATCCATCAATTGATGGACATTTGGGTGGTTCCTATTTTGGCTATTATGAATAATGCTGTTAAGAACATTCATGTACAAGTTTTTGTGGGATGTTTTCTATTTTTTGGGGTGTATACCTAGGAGTTGAAATTGCTGAAAATCCACAATGAACTCTTATTCTTTAAGCACTGTGTGATACAGGTCATATGGTAGCCTTCAGTTTTCTTATTTGAATACAAGAACAACTTAATCTATTTAGATCTTTTCCTGATTAAACAATAATAAATATATGCAAGTTATAAATATTCAAACATTATAGACATATATAATATAGAAAAATGAAAGTTCACCATATTGCCCTGAGTTAACCCCTGTGAGCAGTTTTGCGTACATCTCTACAGATATTTCCCTCTAGGTATATGCGAACATTTATTATTAATGTAATTTTGAAAATGAAAATGATATCCTACCTATACTGTTTGTCAATTTATGAAGAAAGATTTCAAATTTGCCACAGCAGGTCTCACGTCCTCCCCAGTTGTCTGAAAGGAACAATCAACACACACCCAGCCCACCTGGGGCCTGGGTCAGAGGGCATGTTTGTGTGGCCATGATGTTCTGTCCGCCATGCCCACGTGCGCTGGCTTGGGTTGCTTGAAGTGCCAGGACTCAGACTGGCGGTCCTAACCTGGGTCATAGGACTATTTCGGCCAGAGATGCTTATTAAGATGCTATAGGTCAGGCAACCAAAGGCTCAGATTCCCAGAACCACCCAGTCCAGCCCTGCCGTCCAGTGAAATGACTAATTCTGTCCCTCATACTCTCCAAAGTGACTGATTTTATGGTCACCTAATTCTAGATCTAGATGTCGTAATACTGTTCTTCCCCTGAGATCATTTTACTTGCCCCTAAGTTCCTCCATCACACACAGCTCCCATGGCATCCCCTTTCTTGCTGTCTGTCACCAGTCGTCATGGGGGAGAGAGAGCAGGACCTGGAGCTTCTCAGGCTCACAGACAGGCATGGGCGGGTACGGTCTTGTTGGAAGAATGACCCACTGATCCCAAAGCCCTTTACCCCAGTGCCAGTTTGCCTCTTTGCTTCATAGGTGCAGGTCCTATCAGACATTTTTCTTTTGTGAAAGCCTGGCTTCTTCCTTTGTTTCATGCTCAGGTTCCCCGCAGCGAGTTAATGGCAAGGTGAAAGGAAGGATCTATGTGGGGAACAGCCCGCTCCCCGTCGTGTTTGAGAACACCGACCTTCACTCATACGTGGTAATGAACCACGGGCGCTCCTACACAGCCATCAGCACCATCCCTGAGACCGTCGGGTACTCCCTGCTCCCGCTGGCCCCTGTGGGAGGCATCATTGGATGGATGTTTGCAGTGGAGCAAGATGGATTCAAGAACGGGTTCAGCATCACAGGTATTTACAGCAGACAGTAAAACCAGTGGGCACACAGTGGGGCCTGGGGGTGAATGGGAAGGGAACTCCGTGTCCACAAACAACTTCTTGATAAGTACTCTGTGGCCCCGGAAATAAGAAGTTGTGGTAAAATTATCAATATTTTTTCAGTAATATATAGTAATTAAGAGTGTCTAGAATTGCATTTGGGTCAGGGAGTGATTTTGTGGTGGGGATTGTGAAGTCTCTTGCAGAGTGAATGATGTCATCGTTTATATCCTCACCACCCAAAGTGTGGGGCTCACAGGTTCCCTAGCCTGCCTACCCTTCCAAACCAATCTGAAACTAATATTTAACACTTCCTTAGCATCTGCTTGCAGAAAAGGAACCTGTCATTTCTAGCTGGTAAATTCAGCTGGTAAATTATAATCATGATTTTAAACATAATCCAATAAACATAATCCTCACGACTCTTAGGACCTGAGTTCCTTGGAGCTCCCTGTCAGGGAGAGCTCAGCCTTTAGCGCACATGCGGGCAGATGGCTGGGGGGACGTTCCCCAAGTGTAGTGACGGCCTCTCCCAGGCTCTGCGCACCTGTGCATGCTGGAGGCCCTTTCCGGGGGACAATTCAGGTGGAAGAGCCTGTGTCCTTCATCTCTGGCCACTATCAGGACCTGGAACCTCTTGTCTGGGGCATAGGTACTTGGCCACTACCCGTGAAGACCTACGCCTGCCTTCTCCCCAACGCCCAGCCTCACTGGAGCCTCGGCCACAGCTGGACTATAGAAACACCCCTGAAAGCAGGGTCTCTAGGCTTTCCACCGCAACCCTCCAAAAGTTACAGAGTGTAGATAGTAACTCATTGAAGTGTGGCCATTTTAAGAAAGGAGAGGCTACATTTTTGAAGAGGAGTGAAACCACCTGTCAGATATCTAATTTATGGCCAAATGTTTTTTCTCCCTATCCCTCAGGCACATATATCCTGAGTGTTATAAGCACCTTTATGCTCATTCCTATGTAGACATAGTTGAGCTTTGCAGTAAGGCCCACAGACCCTACTCCTGCCCTGCACAGCTTTTTATAAGGTGTTGCTTTGTATGAGAGTTAATCGAACTTGGTAATACTTTCTAACGTACACCAACTTGGGGTGGGGGTGCTAAGGGGGCCTTTACAAACTCTCTGCAACAGCAAATCTTTGTTACTATTGTAAAGTGGTCTTTCTTAGTTGCCCCAGGATGTGTTGTCAGCTGGCTATCTGCCTGGAACTGGGGTACCATAAAGCAGAAGCTGTCAACTCTACTGCAAAGGGCCAGACAGTAAATATTTTAGGCTTTGCCTAAATATTTCAGGCTATAGGATCTCTGTTGCAACTACTGAACTCTGTCATTGTAGCGAGAAAGCAACCATAGGTGATATGCAAAGGAATGAGCATGACTGTGTTCCAATAAAACTTTATTAACAGCACTGACATTTAAATGTCATGTTCTTTTCACATATCATGAGATATTATTCTTTTGATTAAAAGAAAAAAACATTTAAAAATGTCAAGACCATTCTTAGCTCAAGGGGATTTAGCCCTGGGGCTGTAGCACACCAGCCTCTGCCTTAGTTGGAGGATGCTCCTATGGAAAGGGGGAGAAGCTGGAAGAGGCGGGCGGACTTTTCCCTGAACAGACCCAGGAGCGTTACTGAGCCAACCCCCTTCTGCGTGCTCCTGGTATGGTTTCTGGTACTGGTGATTGTTTGCCTTAAACAACTTACCCAACTCGACCAGGCCTGAGCTGACATCTCGGAGCACTTGACACCTGGCAGAGCACTGTTTAGTGTACTTGACCTCATCCCCTTTTCATCATCAGGAATTGGAGGCTTAGTGGGGTTAAGTTCACCTGACCAGTACCTAGCACAGTTGAGCATCAAACCGTGGTCCCCTACTTTTTCAGCACAACCCTTGGACCAGGTCATCTCAATGCTGGGTTGTGGCTGGGAAGGAACTTCTTGTGCATGACTCGGCTGGGCCACATGGATACCCCAGCTCTGTCCTTAGTGTCATCAGCCCCATTTCTACCAAGCAAACTGAAGCACCCCCCCTTGATGACCAGCCCTGTGAGCCTAGGGAGGGCATGAGGGTGGCTTCCCTGATGGCAAAGTGACAGGCTGACCTTGCTTTCCAGGGGGTGAGTTCACCCGCCAGGCCGAGGTGACCTTCGTGGGACACCCGGGTAAGCTGGTCATCAAGCAGCGGTTCAGTGGTATCGACGAGCATGGACACCTGACTATCGACACGGAGCTAGAGGGCCGCGTGCCGCATATCCCGGTTGGCTCCTCGGTGCACATCGAGCCCTACACGGAGCTCTACCACTACTCCCGCGATGGTGAGGGGACAGCCCAAGCTGGTGCAGTCTCCTGGGCTTCGGAGAGGGAGATACACGGGGCCGTTACCTTACTAAAATCACCTTTCCCCCTAATTACAGACAGTACACAATCCCTGTAGGGAATTTAGTGCAAAAAGAAAATAAGCATAGAGTTGTAAAACTAGGACATCCTTATCAGTAAATCTAAATATATTTTTTTCAGCCTTCCCCTAGCATATGTATAAAATATCCCAACATACATATACCAATATATATAATACCCCAGCATAAACATCTTAACATACTATATAATTTCAAAATAAGGTAATATAATTTTATCATACTATATATACATCTACATGGAGATTTTAACTTTTTATTTTAAATAATTTCAAATTTACAGAAAAGTTGAGAATAGCACAATTTCCACATACCATTTACTCAGCTGCACCAGTTAACATTTTGCCACATTTACTTTATCATTCTCTCTCTCGCTCATGCATACATATATATGGTTTTTTGCAAGTAAGTTGTAGATGTTATAATTGTTTATCCCTAAATACTTCATATGTTTTCTCAAATAAGAATATTTTCTTACATGGACTCAGTCCAATGATCAAACTCAGGAAATTTAACATTGATGCAATACTATTACATAATCTACAGTGAGGTATATAGTCTATTTAAATAAAATTGTAATCATGCCACATTATTATAGCTTCACTTTTCCAGTTAATGGTGAATCATGAATATCTTATGGTTTTATTAAGTAGGTTTTGAAAACACTGTATGATTCTATTGTACGGCTGTTAATTTAAACCATTCTATTTTCTAAAGCTTGGGTTAGTTCCAGTTTTCCCTTTCAAAATGAGTTGAAATGACTATCTTCATTATAAATTTTGACCAAATTTCTGATTCTTTTCTAAGACTCAGTTCCTAGAAACAGAGTGCTGAGTCAAACAATAAGAACCTTTTCAAGGCTGTTATTAAATTGCCATCTAGAAAGGTTGCACTAATTACCAAGGCTTTGTGGCTCAGTTAGCTCTCCTGAGGGGACGAGAGTGGGTGACTAAGAGGTGGGATGAGCAGCAGGACCCCAGTCTGTGGTCAGCCGGCAACCAGATGGCGTTTCTGGCAGCCCAGCACGTGGGAGCTGGAAAAGAGGCAGCTTACACTAATCTTTTATTTATCCTCTGGCTTTATTTTGAACTACAGCAGAGCACACACATAAAAAGACTCTTTTATACTTTTTTTTAATGGGAAGTTGAGAGTTTCATGGTAGGGGTGAAAAGCAGGGTCTCTTGATTGGGGAAGACTTTCTTTTCTGTTGAGGTTTGCTCATAGCACTTAGTAATTCGTCAGAAATTGACTACTGAAACTCATTTATTTTTTTTATATTAGAGAACAGTTTAATCTAGGATTATACATAAGAACCACTATTGATTGAATCCGAAATGAGATAATTTTTATAAAGCAGTCAGCACTGTGCTAGTCACGTGGTAAATGCTCCATAAGTGGTAATTGATCTTAATAACAGTATTAGCCTGCTCAGTTCCAGAAATTTTACATACATTACCTCATCCTCACCCCAACCCATGCTCTAAAAGAAACTGAGGCTAAAGAAATTAGTGACCAACCTGTGTACACACAGGTTATGCGTGATGGTGCGAGGTGAGAGTTCAGGTGTATCTCCTTCCAGGCGTGTCCTCTTTCCACCAGACCTTAATCTCTGGGTTGATTCTGGGTAGCTTAGGAATTTATAGAGAAGCACTTGATGAGAAAAAGCAACAAATATTAGTGATGCAAATACTACCAATAATAGTATGGGAAATCTAGGTAGCATAGCAATAAATGGTCTTATTGACCTTCTCCGTCTATCTGCTCTCTCCCCTGGTAGCACTGTGTTGCAGGGGATACTGCTGATGGTTTCAAAGCCCTCGGTGAAGCATCTTGTATCCTTACGCTGTCTCCTTTGTCTCCCTGCTGCCCTCTCCCACCCCAGTGATCACGTCCTCCTCCACCCGGGAGTACACTGTGACACAGCCTGAGCGGGATGGCGCTGCCCCTTCAAACATCCACACCTACCAGTGGCGCCAGACTATCACCTTCCAGGAGTGTGTCCACGACGACTCCAGGTCGGCTCTGCCCAGCACCCAGCAGCTCTCGGTGGACAGTGTGTTTGTCCTGTACAACCAGGAGGAGAAAATCCTGCGCTATGCTCTGAGCAACTCCATTGGGCCTGTGCGGGGTGAGACGGCAGCTCGGGCTGGGCAGCATGTGTGTTGCACATCTATCTCTGTCCTCTGTGACGTGTTGTTTTTTTGTCTCCTATTCATTAAGAAGAAAATTATGCTAAAATATCTTCCTTACAGAAAAGAATGTCTCGACATCTGTGATTCTTAGAAAGCCTACTTGTCTCTGTTTGGCTAACCTAAGGCCTGCTCATTATTCGGTTTGGGGAGGAGGAAAGGATTTTCACCTGTGAGTTACCTTACAGATCAGGCCATCCAACCCTGCAGCTGGCCTTGGCCAGACTTTTAAAACACTCAACCCCGAAAGGAATGTGTGCTCAGGGCCTGAGGAAATCTAAATAAAATCTGATGAAAGTCAGGCACAGAGCCTACCACAAACTCTGTCCTGTGATGGTAACTTGTGGGTGCAGAAGTCTGGTCTGTGGGTGCTTTTGGCTGCAGGAAAGGAACTGGCATTTTGGGGAGCTACTGTGACATCTCTGTCAGATTTCACATCGTCCAAATTTCCGAGTCCCAGGGGTTCTGCATATTTGGGGTCCGGGAGTTAAGGTCTTTCATTTTTTCAGTTAGTTTGGTTCGCCTGCCATACCCAGGTCACTTCTCCAGCTGGTCAAGTTTGTCCTTGTCTAGCTCCATGGAGCAGGAGGGCAGGTATCTTCTTCCTCCTTTGATTACTGTAGCTCTAGGCAGATAGTAAATGGCCAGGTAGTAAATATTTTAGGTTTTGCCAGCCATCCAGATCTGTCTGTCACAGATCTCACTTCTGCCATCGTGCACAAAAGCAGCCAGAGACCATATACAAGCGAATGGGCATGGCTTGTTTCCAGTGAAATTTGATTAACAAAAACAGGCGTGGGGCCTGTGGGATACGGTTTGCTGGTCCTGGCCAGGGTGCCGCAGGAGGCAGCTGCTTTCCTGTCCGGTATTTTTTGCCACAGACATCTTTGTTGCAAACATTTTGGCCGCAAACATTTTTACTCCTTAATTGGCTATAATGCAATCTTGCTGTAAAAAGAGATAAAATACAGGTTTTTCCCGCTCTCTGAAAGTAGAACGTTCCTTCTGAAACCTTCCCTGAGCCGAAATGTCCTAACCTGCTTTTTGAAAGTTCACTGTTACACCACTTCACTTTTACGAAAGGCCTACATAAGTGAGGGAATGTTTTTGAGTAAAAAAAAACAACAAAAACCAAAAACCCTTTTGGGATTTTTGCTTTTTGTTACCATTTGAAATGGCACTAATGTGGGTCTTTCAACAGTAGAGAAAATAGTGGTCATCTGAAAACAGTTAACGTTTCTTCCAGATGACAATGATTTTTACCCCAAGAGTTCGCTGGTTTCTTATTCTGAACCAACTACATGAGAGGAGACAAGGAGGCCGAGGGGCCTCTTTGGCGCCCAGAGGTGAAGCCACGTTTTGCGCAGAACGAGATAAGGACTTAGGTATAATCACAAAGTAAGCTCAGTTATTTGCTCAGTATTGCCATGAATCTACACACATTTTAAATGTACTCGAATAGTTTGTATTTCGCAATTAGGTCTTTTAAATTTTATGAAGTCCTTTTTAATGTCCTCTTTAATTGTTGTGATTTTATCTTTTTTTACGGCAAAATTGCCTTACCGCCAGTGAGTTACATGGCGGAAATGTTTGCAGCAAAGATGCTTGGGGGAAAGTACCTAACACCCCTGGTTCCCTGTTCCAGCCCCACACCCCCGGTCTTCAGTCTTGCCTTCCTCACTGGAAGGAGGAACCTGCAAGCGTGTCTGAGGACTCACCAGGTTTCAATGTCTCTGCCTTCGCAGACGGCTCCCCTGACGCCCTGCAGAACCCTTGCTACATCGGCACTCATGGGTGCGACACCAACGCGGCCTGCCGACCTGGCCCGGGGACACAGTTCACCTGCGAGTGCTCCATCGGCTTCCGAGGAGATGGGCGCACCTGCTATGGTACAGCCGTCAGTTCTGACTGGGGGGCAGCAGGGGAGATGGGCTGGGAGGAGGTGTCTGGGTCCTGTACCAGATGGCGGGCGTGGTGGGGGAGGAAGAGCTTTGCAGGAATGTGAGGGCGCGCCATGCTCCACACTCGGTGTCCCCTCGGTAATGTCAGGGGCACTGCCCCTTTCTTTTCTCCAATCGAATGCATGAAGTCTAAGCAGCGGAGCAGAATTTGTAAAGCCATGCTCCACTGTAAGAACACACAGGTGTAAAGGGAAGCTAAAGTCAACGCTATTTAGAACACTCATAACTATGACGTCCCCAGGCACATTTGTGTGAGCTGCTTCACAGACACCATCTCATTTAATTGAACAACTAATGAAATAATCTCTGTCTTTTCAAAATTCTTTTTAATTATGGTAAAATACACATAATGTAACATTTATCATGTTAACCATTGTTAAGTGTACAGTTCAGTGGCACTAAGTACATTCACCTTGTGCAACCATCACCCTCATCCATCTCTAGAACCTTTTCATTTGCAAAACTGAAGCTCTGTTCACAGTGACAAGTTCACATCCCCCTGCCCCGCCCCTGGCACCCACTATTCTACTTTATGAATTTGAATCCTCTAGGGACCTCATATAAGCGGAACCATACAGTATTTGTCCTTTTGTGACTGACTTATTTCACTGAGTATGATGTCCTCAAGGTTCATCCATGTGGTAGCCTGTGTCAGAATTTCCTTCCTTTTTAAGACTGAATAATATTCCATTGTGTGACTATACTACATTTTTTAAAAATCCATCTATTTGTCAATGGATGCTTGAGTTGTTTGTATTCTTTGGCTACTGTGAATAATGCAGCTGTGAACATGGGTGTACAAATATCTGTTTGAGTTCCTGTTTCAACTCTTTTGGGCTTATACCCACAGTTGTTGGATCATATGGGAATTCTGTGTTTGATTTTTTGAGGAACTGCTGAAGTTTTCCACAGCAAGTGGACCATTTTACATTCCCACTAGCAGTGTGCAAGGGCTGCGATTTCTCCACATCCTCGCCAACACTTATTTTCTGGGGTTTTTTTGATAGTGGGATTTTTATAGATGAGAAAATTGAGGTTTGTTAAAATGGGCCAGTGGCAGAGTACCGGAACTCGAGACTGTGACTGAAGCATGTATATTACACTGTCTTCTCATTGTACTCATTATTTATCATTTAATTTCAAATGCTTTCACATAGACATACTTTCACATATGTTTGTTACTAAATGGTAATCTGCTACCAAGGCTGACTCAGTGAAGAGTCCTTAAACCCAGAGACAACTGGTGCAGGAATGTCAGGTGCTTCAACCTGTGCTCCCTCACTCTGCACCTGAGGGCTAACAAATGAGCGTAAGGAATGCTTTAGAGGTCAGCTTTCCTAGGGACATGAAGGGCATACTCCCGTATGTTTGGCCAGAAAGATGAGCAGCAACTCGAGTGACTGGTGTATAAGAGTCTGGTGAGCCCAGCAGCCTTGGAGTTTGAAAACCATGCCTTTGGTCTGGAATTCCATGCCTCCAATTAAGGGCGGGTCTGGTGTGCCGATTTAACTTGAAGCTTAGCAGTTCCCTCTGTCAGGGTATTCCTGTGTTTGCTTCCGAGCGAAACTTTATGTCAGGTGCTCACAGGAATGGCTTTTATAGTTGTTTTGCCAGCTTGCTGATAACTTGGTGCACGTGGTAGAATTTAGTCTGGGATGCATCTTCCTTGTCACATATCACTGGGGGGAGGGGACATACTTCCTACTCCGGATCATCAGAGTTCCCCAGTATTTCCCCAAAGAGCTCCACAGTCTTGAGTGGCTGGATTGGCTCAGGCCAGTTTGAAGCAGCCTGATTCTGTGTGTGTGATTAGAGTCCTCCCGGGGCTGTGAAGATGGGGATGGAGACCACACCGGGGTGGGGCACCCTCATTTCTCAGCAGAAGCATATACCTCCCTAGTCTTTATGGAGCCCTACTTCGACTTCATAAGACAACTGAATGTTAATAAAACATGGAGACACCCCAGCCTGTTGCTGCTGAAGCCTCGCCTCTGGTTGACTCTACTCTTGGTGCCTGAACTGGTCGTCATGGGAGTGTTTGCTTCACTTCACAAGGCACCATCAGCCATGCTTGATGTAATTCGCTGCTGTCACAGAAAACCCTCTGGTGTCCTCGCCCAGGAAGACAGGTGGTCGTGCGTGGACTTGCTTTTGTCCTGTGGTTAGACCTCGTTCTGGCAGATTAGCCCTGTGGAATGTGGGTATACTCCCAGTCAGGTTATGTTTTGTTCTGGGTCACTAGAATGTGCCTCACAATGTAAATGCACTGAGACACGAGGCTGTTGATAGGAAATGGCATTAAACAGATCACTTCATTCGTGTATTATTTTGGCCTAGAAAGGGCCTCGGGAAAATGAGGAGGAGCCTCTGTAATTGTGTGTGCATGGCATTGATGTAATGATAGATGACAACCACAAGGCTGGTGTTGGTCAGACACTGCAGAGTGGCCCTTCACAGTGATTTGGAGGACATCTTCCGTCGAATCATCGAGCTCCAGTGCCTGGCAGAATGGCCTCCATGTATTTCTCAACTGGACGTCTGTAGAGATAGTTTTGAATAGTCTCTCATTGAGTAATTTTGAGTATGCACTGGCGTTTATCAAATCACTCATGAGACTCTGCTCAGAAAGCCTGGCCTTTATAAAAGGGTTAAATGGGAGAAACTTAGAGTTGTTGAAAATATGTGAAAAGTAGCCACTCTGAAAAAAGTCAAAAAGGAAGCAGTAATTACAAGAATCATCCAGGATTTTCCTGTTGGGTTAGAGGATGATTTATGTGAAAGGAAACCTCTTCCCAGAGAAGAGTTGACCAGATATTCACTAATAGGAACAATCATCTCCAAGCACGCGTTATAGTGTCTTATGAGGGACAGTTATCTCCAATTCACTATTTCCACTAAAGAAAGGATTCAAGTCCTGGCCTCAATTTATAGAAGGGAAGATTTAAATTATTAGGTGGAATTTCCAAACTGTAAGGACCATGAGATATTAGAGGGGAAATTGCTGGGGTCGTGCTCGAAAGAAAAGGTGTAGCCCAGCTTGGGTCATATGTGTAGGCTTGCATGGAGGTGGAAGTTGGGGTGGGGACCATTATCCCATGGGCCCCCAGACCCTGTTTGCCAGTGGCTCTCCAGATAGGGCGTAAGGGATGAGCACTCGCCTAATCATCTATGAAACTTTTTCAAAACACACAGCTTCCCTTCCCATAAAGCAGCCCCAGGGGTATGGAGCTTGGAAAAGTTCCCTGGGTGATTTTGTTCAGTCCCTTGGATTCAAAAGTGTTGCTCTGTGCTAGCGTGCTTCAGCAGTGGGGCCCTGCCGTCTGCGCCCTACATCCAGACATCTGTGCTGGGAGTGTCCTCTGAGCTGGAGAGCAGAGGCAGTGGGAGCGGAATGGTCTTTTTTTGTCATGTTCCAGCAGCAGCTGGTGGATGGAGCAGTGAAGTCCAAGTTCTCTGAACCCTCCCACCCCCAACTCCAGCTCGTGGAAGTGGACTCCTCCAGAGGGGCTTTGTTCCATAACCTTCCAGCTGTGCCTGGAGCCGCCCTCTTGCCTGAGATCCTGGGTCTGAAAGATTTCACAGAAACATTCGTTACAGTATATTTTCACAAAGCTGAATACCATTCGGTTTGGGTTTTTACCTGGGTTTAGGTCCACTCGCAGGTAAAGGTGCTTTCTATTGTATTATATCTAGGGATAGATGAAGAGGTTTAAACCAAGTCTTTGTTTTCTAAAAACTCGCTTGTAGATATTGATGAATGCGCTGAACAGCCCTCGGCGTGTGGGAGCCACGCCGTCTGCGATAACCACCCAGGAACCTTCCGCTGCGAGTGTGTGCAGGGCTACCGGTTTTCAAACGAGGGGACGTGCGTGGGTAAGTTCTGTAGGTTGGCGGGATTTTCAAAATCTTTACTCATATGGTATATGTTAGCACCTGTGTAAAAGGTATTGCTCCAGGTAATCATTGGTTGAGATGGAAGGTGCCAGGTTCTGGAGTTTGGGGGGGGGAGGGACTTATAAAGACAAGTCTGACTTCGTCCCTGTTCTCCACCTCCCTGGGGATCACGTGTACCAGGAATAAGTACTGTTACTGTCTATACTAGTAAGACCATCACCTCGCCTGCTGCAAGCTTTGTATTATATTCCCTTCTTACAGAACTTCTTTTAGGTTTTTTACCCTTTTCACAGCTATTAAAAAAATTAGACTTGTTTCTCCTTAAATTAGTGGCCTTGGGATTCATGTGGAGGGACCACCTTGTAGGCATTTTTGTCATTACCTGCCTTGGATTGAATCCTTTCTGATTTACATCTCAAATTCCCCTTCGGGCCATTCTACTTATGGATTTCAATTTTATAGGCCACAGTAGTAACATAACTTCTGAGCCTTATCAGAGTAAGTGAGTTGAGGGTATTAGTTTAGCGAATTATGCTTTAGGTTGATGACGCTTTTGGCGATGACAATGATGGGCCAGCCCCAAAAAGCCAGATTGTTGGAATTTTTCCACTTTTTCTTACTGCTGCACTTTGACCTGTTGGTTCAAAGAATTTAAAGTTCACAGGTTCTTGGAGATTTCCAGTCTGGAGAGCAGTGTGCAGAATGGGCCATCTGAACTGAATATCTCTTCCCAATTTAAAACAGATTTCTCTTTTACTGCCTCAGTGACCCATCTCCTTGCCCTGCCTTGCTGTTTACTAAACCCTAGTGTGCTTTCTGTTTGATCCATCTTGAAGCTGGGACGAGGCTGCCAAGGTCGCAGGGTGAGGTGGAGTCTTGAGGGTGGGAGGGAACAGGCAGTTCTCATAGTTTGAGTATGACCCAAACAGCTGTGAATTGAGAAAGGCCAGTCTCCTTTGCACAGAGTTGAGATTTCAGCTCTCCTAAACTTCTTTGTATTTTTTTTTCAATAGAGAACAACAATTTCTATGTGTTTGGCCTTATTTCCTTCTCTGCTGTTTAAGATGGAGATTCAAAGGTTTATTTTTCCTGGCAGCACCATTTACGTTACATTTCAGCTCCAACTTGGGTAGTGGATCCTTTACCCCTTGGGTGGTGAAGTACAGTCCTGGGACAGGTGTGTGCGGTGGGGCATGGTGCCTTGCATTTCTGGATCCAACCATCCCTGCCATCCACACTCCCTGGAGAGGCAGGATGGGGTGCAAATGCCTACTCGTAGGCATTTGATCTTGAGGAAGACACTGAGCCTCTCAGTTCCTCACCTGTAAAATGAGAGGACCAGACTGGGTCATGGGTTTAATGTGTCCCATGAGCCCTTGGAGCTGCCTCAGGAGCTGCTGATGAGGCTGCAAGGAAGCCATTGTCAGACTTTTGTCCTCTGCACCCCAACGAGCAGGCCTCCAGTTTTCTATATATTAAATTCTCAGTAAGATTTTATTGGGATTCCATTGCTCAGAAACAAGTATGAAAACTGCCCGAAGATCATGAAGTTCCACAAGACCAGGCATCATCGTGTGCCTTCCTGTTTCTCCCTGTGCTGTTCTGTCCACTGGGCTCTGCACCCCTTTTGGTCCGCTCCTTTGAGACTCACCGTGTGGAGAGATGGCTCACTGGGTCAAACCAAGTCTGCTCGAATGCATCCAAACTACTAACTCTCGTTCCTCACTGTATAATTTAGAGGTCAGCTTCACCTCTCCCAGAATTCTTTTCTAAGACAGTATCCTGATTGGAAGGCTGGGTTGGGAAAGTTTCTCTCCAGGTCAGAGCAGGGGAAGATGAGGAAAGAATCTGGAATGTTTAAGAGGCCGGCTCTGCCCTGCCAGCTGTAAGGTGCTAGGGCTCAGGCAGAGCACATGGGCTGTCCGGAGGAAATTATCTGTTCGTGATTGGAATTCATTGTGGATCACTTCTTGGCCTTTTGGCTAAGATCAAGTGTGGAATCCATTATGGGAGGGGCTGCTTCGTGGACTTCCATATTTGGCATTTTCTGTAAACCTGTGACTTTCTCTTTTCCGCTGGGTGAAAACTTTTATGGTTAATTGGAACGCGCAAAGTATGTTTACATAAAGGAAACACGGGCCCCAGCTTGCCTGTGAAACACCTCTCTGTGAAGACATAGATGCAGCGCTGAGTGGACACAGGCCTGCAATACGTGGCCTATTATATGGAGTGTGAGGAGATCTGAGGTCCCATGAGCCCTCACTGCGGCATCTTTGTGAACAGCGCCATGCACCTGCCCACCTGTGGGGCAGGACATGGCCAGGCATAGGCTAGAGGCATAGCCTTGCCTCACCCAGCATTCTTGTTCTCCCTTCCTTGCCTGTCATATTATTAGGGGAAATTATTTTCAAGCACTCATTGTTGAGATCTTATTCTCAGCAATAGAAGCTGTGTGAGACCACCGTACTTACAGCTCTTCACACCCTGCCCTTTCTCTCCTTTCTATTATGTGACTTCTTTCCCCAGCCTGTCCTTCCTTTTCAGTATTTCCTTCTTTCTCCCTTGTTCCCTCATTTCCCGGCCCAGCCAGCCTACAGGTGGCTCTTGGGAACCATTGTCAGGTAGGTGGCAGCATCTCAGAACCAGCCACCCACTCTGCTTATTCATCAGGGCACGGTCCTAGAAAAGTGAAACCCCAACTTACAACTCAGTTGTAATTGTAATTAACTTTTAATTCCCATTTTGAGCCCACTTTTCTCTCCTTTCCAGAACTTGCCCCTCCATCCCACCCTGTAGCTTCCCATTGGTTGAACAGGTAGGGTCAGAGCTATAGGGAAATTGCAGCTCCGGCAGGTCAGGAGCCCCTGAGAACAGCACAGCTGAGTGCACTGGTGTCCCCTCTTGTATATCAGGTCTCCTTTATGCAAAGGAGACTGGGGCAGTGGCTTCTCTTTTGTAGTGATGGGCCAGTGAATGTCCTGTTTTTTTCTGTTGTTGTTGTTTGTTTGTTTCTATTAGTTTCAGGTGTACAAAACAATGCAACAGTTATCTTTTTCACCCCTCACAAAGTGACAACCCCCCTCCCCCATCCCCGATATCATATATATCTATTACAATTCCAGTGACTCCATTTCCACACTATACTCCACATCCCATGACTATATATGTATTAAATTATAGTTGACATATAATATTATTCAACGGCAGCTGCAGATGTACAGTGCAGTGGTCAGGCCTCTACACCGTCCATGAAGTGGTCTTAAAATCACTCTTCTTTGAATGAATATAATCAGGAAGACCGTCGAGGAACTCCGTTTGTGTGAAGACGGAGGAAAACTGCCCGGGCTGTCAAGAGCCTTAGGAAAGACTTTCATTTTAATTGATGTGAAACATTCACTAAAAAGTGCTTTATTTATTTTAAAAATGAAAAGGCTAGAGCTAAACTATCCGGCGTTGTAAAGTTGACTTTTAAAGCTTCAAGAAGAAAATTGCTTTGGCATGAAAAATGGTCTTACATAAAGAAAAACATGATTTAAAAAATTAAATTGTAAACTGCCTTTTTCTCTAAGTGATTTGACAATTATAGAAACCCATGTGAGGGCGATGGCTGGGCAGGGGAGTTTATAACCTCCACATGCTTGCAGTAAGGTCCTCCTCTGTTAGTAAGCATGGGGCTAGGGAGTTTCTGAGCAAATGATTTATAAAATGGTCACTTACAAGCTATAAATGACAAATATTTGGTGTAAGAAATAGAGAAGAGGAAGTGCAGGGAGACTCATCTTCAGTTCTGCCTGAACATACGTTTCCTACCTTTTCTGGGTCCTCTCCTCTTTGAGAGTGTGGGAGCTTTCATACTTTGCGAACTGAGGGAGTTTTGGGGGAGGACCCCAGAGAAAGGAAGAACATTAGAAATGATGGGAGGTGAGAGGAGAGAAAAGGGTCCTTGGACTGGTAGGTATAATCCAGGCTACTGTTCTCCAGACAGGAATTGGGACCACTTGTAGCAATTTAAATCCCAGCAACCCTTTGGCCCATGAGACTCCGTGTGATGGTGCCGGTCCCACAGGAGTTAGTCAACATTCTTGACTCAGGAGTCTAGGCTGCTGAGTGCACAGGCTGGGCCTCCGTCTGAATACTTTGCTAACCTCTTGTTTGGCACAGACCTTTGAAGTATCCCCTTCTTTACCTGCCCCCTGCCAGTGCTTACAGCTCTGTCTCTCTAAGCACTGGAGAAAGATAAACCAGAGTAATCTTGGGACGGGCCCATTGAGGAGAAAGACGAGGAGTCCTCTTGCATGTGGAATAATCCAGACACTGAGGCCTCCTGGAGGGACTGAGGGTTCTGTTCTGACATTGTGAGGGACGGGGCTCTGTCCTGGGTCTTAGAGCTTTAAAACCAGAAGCTAAGTGGTGCCTTGGGAACCCCAGAGAACTTGAAGCAGCCATCGGCAAGCACCCCTAGACCTCAGCCCTTGACTTCCATCTTGAGGCAAGAGCACAGGTGGGGTATTATTGGCTCACCTCCATGTCACTCACCCATTTCCTGAGCCCTCGTTCCATGAGTTCATCAGGACCCTTAGTAAACAATAGTCCCATTTATGGGCCTCCCTGTGCTCGGCGTGCTGGAAGTAATTTCTGTTTCACAGAGGAAGAACGTGAGGCTCTGAGAGTTATAGGATTTACCCAAAGCCATGTGGTAGACACATGTGAACTTGGTAAAAACCCAGGGCTGCCTGTCCCAAAGACCCACAATCTTTCCACCGTACCTGCTCACTGCCATGGAAGTTCATTTCTTCCTGGGCGAGAAATGGGTCACCTTGACTTTGGCATTCGTAGCGACTGTTTGACCTGCCCCGTGGGTCAAGGTTAAAGACACCACATGGTAGCCTCAGATCCTTAGCTCCAAATGCTCCACCAGCAGAGGTGCCCTAGGCAATGTGTGCAGCTGTGATATTCCAGCTCCACATACAGATGAAGGGAAAGTCGGGTGTGGGACCTGGTGTGGAGAGTGGCCTGAGAGACAGAGCCCTGGAGCGAAAGAGGTTGAAAGCCAGGCTGAGTGATTGACCACAGTGTTAGTCTGCGAGGACTAATCAGATGCAGAGTCCAGCTGAAGAAACAGGAGGAGAGATGGGGGTGCCAGCCTAGTGGGGAGCAGGGCTTGAAGCTGAAGAAATGCCTGGAGGTCTGGGATCCAACCCCGTCCCCCTGGCAGACTAAACTACTGGTGGGGGTGGAGCATGGAAGGGAACTGGGCCTGCTCAGGGGACTCACTTCAAACATTGTGTCCACCTTGTGTTTGAAGCTATTATGGACCAGCGCCCCATCAACCACTGCACGACAGGCCTGCACGACTGTGACATACCCCAGCGGGCCCAGTGTGTCTACACAGGAGGCTCCTCCTACACCTGCTCCTGTTTGCCAGGTTTCTTTGGGGACGGCCGGGCCTGTCAAGGTATGTAGTGACTGATATTTCTCTGTATATCCTGAAAAAATGCCCTAGGTAGTACTTATCATAAGCTAATTACTGACTCACTGAGCTTAATTATTGAGTATAAGAGAGTTATTCTCTCAACTCGGGTAAATGGGCTGCATTTTGTCTCTGTCTAGTAGTTTGAATTATGTGTTTTTTCTTGTTTGTTTGTTTCTTTTTTTTTTTTTGAGAGCTGTTCTCATTGGGGAAGACACTTGGCCTCCCCCACTATTTTGTTCCATGTGTCTTGCCCATTCAGGCAACAATTAGACACCTGCTGTCTGCTAGGAACAGAGTTGTTTTTCATGAAAAGTCAAACCATCGTTGCATTCATGGAGCTTATAGTCCAGCCATTTATTTAATAACGTGTATAGCCATTCACCTGGCCTGCTCTAACCATCTGCTCCAAAAAAAGTGAAATCCCCTTACTGAATAAATGAGTGCAGACTCAGAGAATAATGACTCCGCAGAATTCTTTCAGGCCTGAGATCAGTCCATTGTTGTCTGCCAGGGTGTTTTATAGATAATTTTAGGTAGGTAACTGAACACAGTTAGATAACTGTGGTCCTCTGGTTTACAAAATTACTTTATACCACAGAGTATTTCTGAAAAGGTCAAGCTTTTCTAAGATAGATTATAATTTCTGAGAGGCTGTTTCTTCGTTACTGAGCATATGAATTTTCTCTGGTCTCTGAGATTTTTATGCCAAGCACTTAATCTGTCTGCAAACTCTTAGACATTGTAGAAGCTCTTATTTATGATGAGAAAGATCATTTTATAATGCAAAAGAATCCTCCCTTTTTTCCTTTTGCAAGCTTGATTTTTTATGAAAACATTATCATCAGAGTGAAACACATTTGTAAATGCACAAGATAGAAATTGGGGAATTAGTGTTTTGATAATTAATGTTGAGCGACTTCTAAATCACTAACATATCAGAAACAGGGTCCCATAGAGTTGAGCCAGTGGCTTAAATTGTGCAAACTATGGATTCCAGAAGAAATCTCACTGTCCCTGGGTCTGGGTGCTGTTTTGCAGATGTGGATGAGTGCCAGTCAAGCCGATGCCACCCCGATGCCTTCTGCTACAACACTCCTGGCTCCTTCACGTGCCAGTGCAAACCTGGTTACCAGGGAGACGGCTTCCGCTGTCTGCCTGGAGGTAAGGTGTCAGAACATTTGGAGTTGGTAGGCCAGTGCCATGGCCTTGGGAGGGAAGGTGAGGTGGAGAAGTGTGAAACTCCATGGAGAGTGCTGAGGGTTGTTGAGGTGGGAGATCACAGCACAGCTGCAATGTACAGCCGGGCACGTTGTGCACTGCACAACTCTAGGGGGGACCACACACGGACCATAACTGTATCAGCAGCCTGGTCATCTTGGTAACTTGAGCAAGTAGTGCAGAGTAATGGGACTGTGTTAGCATTCTCCAGAGAAACAGAACTAGTAAGATGTGTGTGTGTGTGTGTGTGTGTATGTATATATTTATTATAAGAAATTGGTCACACGATTATAGAGGCTGGGAAGTCCCAAGATATGCTGTTAGTAAGCCAGAGACCCAGGAGAGCTGATGGTGTCGTTACAGTCTGAGTGTTGGCAGGCTTGAGACCCAGGAAAAGCCAATGTTTTCACTTGAGTCTGAAGGCAGGAAAAAGCCCATGTCTCAGTGTATAGGTCGTCAGAAGGGAAGGATTTTCTCTTAGGGAAGGATCAACCTCTTTGTTCTCATCTGGCTTTCCGCCCATCTGATTGGATGCGGCCTACCCCCATTAGGGAGGGTAATCTGCTGTACCAGTCTATGGAGTTAAAGATTCATCGCATCCGAAACACACCAAATAACGTTTGGCCAGATACCTGGGCACCTTGTGGCCCATTCAGGTGGACACCTAAAATTAATTATTTCAGGTTTGTAAGAGTCACGGGCAGTAGAGCGAGGCTGGGGGAGGAAGCAGGGATGAAGGGCCACCAAGTGGAGGAAGCTGCAGGCTGGGGCCTCCACAGAACTGTGCGTATGACCTGGGATACCTGGACTGTGCAGCTTCTAAAGTTGCCTGCTGACCTGCGTGGCATCTTGTTAGATCATAACGATCGTGATAGCCCGCGGTCAGTACAAGGAACTCAGGAGGCACTCACATGCTCATGAATGAATACATATAATTGGCTGCCATTTGCGTAGAACCTACCATATGCTCGGTGCTTTACCTGTACTATTTTAGGTACTGTTCATAATTGTCTTTTAAAAGTAAGTACTATTACTATCTCTGTTTATGCTGAAACTTAAAAGATAAAGGCACAATCAAGGCCCCATAGGTACTAAGGGCTAGAACTAAGACTCAAACCCAGTCTTGTCAGATGGACACAACCTGGATGCAGACCTAACTACATGGGATCCAGTCATGAGATTAACCATGTAATTGACACCTCAGACCGGATTCAGCCAGTCATGTTATTAATTATTATTATTATTTTTTTTTAAAAGATTTTTATTGGGGAATTGGGAGGATGGGAACAGTGCTGGGGAATTGGGGGAAGGAGAACAGACAAGTTGCTGTCGTTTTTGTTCTTCAGTCTAGTTGTAGAGGACGTTGCTTCACTGGCCCAAGTTGGGCACCATCATTGTGCTCTTCCTGGGCGAGACAGATCAGTCGCCGGCTTCTGGACGCCCGCTCACTGCGGCTGCTGGCCGCTCACGCTGGCTGCTGGCTACATACAGTAGCCCATGGCAACCCACTGCCACAGAGGCTACAGCCTACACCATCTCCAGCGACTCACGGCAGCCCAGCTCCAGGTTGAGCTGTTGTTCAGCATCTTAGCTGTAGAGGGCAGTGTCACTGGCCCTCATATGTGGGATCCGAACCGGGGTCCTCTGGCATCCCAAGCCAGTTCTTAACCATGGCGCCACTCGGCCGGCCCTATTAATTATTTTTAATTACTGCTGCTGTTGTTGGCCAGATATACCAGGAGTGCCAAAAAAATGTATACACATGACTTGTATTCATCTTTCATTATTGGTATATATTGAGTATGACAATTTTAATGCAGTTCTTTTTCTTTCTTAAAATGTGTATACATTTTTTGGCACCCTCTGTATTTATGCCACTAGATATGTTTCAATAAGAGGTAAATGGAAAGCAATTACAAACTATTTCAGTGTCTGTCCCCTTGGCTAGCCTGTGAACACACTGAGGACAGGGTGCATGTGTGTTTTATTTTTATGTCCCCAGTATCCAGTGGCTCCCTCTAAACAGGTGATGAGAGAGGAAGCCACAGTCTTTTGTAACCTAATCTTATAAGTGACAATGCTGTCACTTCTGCTGATACTATTAGTCACAGGCCAACCCTCTAACAGTGTGAAGAACTACATAAGTCTGGAAATACCAGGAGGTGGGAGGTTGGGGGCCATCTTGGAGGTGGGCTACCACGGCCACTGACCTTGCCTGGATGATGTCAGGGGGAATGCAACTGGTAGAGTCTTGGAATGTGGGGAAGCTTATTAGAGGATCAAAGAGGAGTTTAAAGAGTCCTGGGCTAGAGATGGAAAGCCTGGTCCTTCGGGGCAAATACCAAGCCTGTGGATGTTTGGTCACCTCTCTTTACTCTTGGCACCTGTCACACTTACCAGCACGCTGCATTGGAGCCACACCACACATCTTTACAGAGAAAGATAATTAGTTCAGAAAGTAGGACTACAAGGAACGATGAAAACATTTAGGATAATACAACTTAAAGGAGAGAAAACCGAGGAATAATTGCACACTTTTTGTTATGTGTCTGTTGTTGGTGATACAATTTGTACTTTGTTTCAAATAAACCCAATGTTAGAAAACTTGAATTTCCCAGTTAGAGCTGGAAGAGGCCCTACAACCTCTCTAATTCATCTCCTTTGTTTTACAAGTAAGGAACATAAGGCCTAAATAATGTCTTAGTTTACAAAAAGATTTCTGGAACTCTTTATGTAGAAGAATTGTTATAGAATTATTTCTCCAAATTGAGTAAAACCCCCTTTTTAAAAGAAAAACTTTCTTAAGGCCTCCAGTGTTGGCTTAGATTATTTTTATTATGGATAAATCTAGGGTCCAGCTTCTTTTATAACTATAAAATCAAAACACGTTTACAAATTAAATAAAATAAAATTACAAATTATAAATTTCCAATCAACATTCATTTAATGTGCCAGATTGTTGTTAGTCTGAAATTGGCATTTCTGTGGTTGGCTCCCCATCCTGGATGGTCAGCCTTTCCGTCTTTACTGGATAATTCCAATCAGCCTGCAGTGAAGCGGTGATATTTCTCACTTGAAAGACAAACAAAAAGCGAAGGCTTCCCTTGAAGCTACATCCATGTCTCACTGCTATCCCATTTTCTTCTGCTTTGTAGTTTAATTCCTCATGAGGGTGGTCTAGAGTTGCTGTTTCCACTTCCTTTTCTCCCATTGTCTCTTTTTTCCCAACCTTTTTGTTGTAAAATAAAACATAGATACAGAAAGCCGTATAGAGCAAATGTATAGCTCAAGGAGTCATTCTAAGGTGACCCACTTGTAACCACCACCCAGGTCAAGAAGTAGAACTTTACCAAAACCCCGAAACCTCTGCCAGGCGCTCTGTCCCAGTCAGAGCCTCCTCCCTGTCTCCAAAAGTAACCACCAACTTGACATTTACAAGAATGACTTAACTTGCATTTCTTTATAGTTTTATCATACATGTGCATTCCTAGACACTATAGATTTAGTGTTGCTCATTTTTCTATCTACAGTTCCCTCTTTCAGCCCTTTCTTTTCCTGGCAGTTTGTGTATTGAAGAACCCAAGACTTTAAGCTGTACAGTTTCCCACAGCGTGGATTTTGCGATTGTGCACTCATGATGTAGTTCAACGTGCTCTCCTGGCCTCTGTTATCTGCAAACTGGCAGCTGGGTGTAGAGACTTGATCAGACTCAGGTTCAATCCTTTTGGCAAGGGAGCAGGTGGTGGTATTACCTTACATCAGAAGCACATAAAGTCTGCAGGTCTCATTCTTTGTGATGTGAGAAGCCATTTATGATTATGGCCTAGATCTGTTCATTTCTAGAGAATGGCAAATTGTGAGATTCTAGTTGTCATTTCTTTCTCATTTATTATTTGTAATTGATGTTCATTAATGTCCATTAATTTCTAGTGGGCATCAAATGGTAATAGTCTAATTCTATTGTCTTTTTTTCTATTTGTTAGGTAGAGTATTTATAAAGAAATGCTTCCCCTCATCTACTCTTTGGTTGCGCAGTTGGTACATTTCATAAAGGAAAGGCAGGATAAATGCTTGGGTCTTTCCCTTATTTATTAGTTGTCAAGATAACGGATTGATTCCTTATCAGCCACTGAAGGTGACTAATTCATTTTTAGTTTTTAATTATCATTATAAACTCATGGGTATCAATTCGTTGTAATTATTGCTCTCATTATAGCCCAGAGTCCCATTTTTGGCCCATGGGAACCCCTTCTATTTGGCCTCTGGTCCTTTTGATACAACCCTAGTAGCCTTCGATAGATTCCTTGCTCTCTGGTATGATAAGATGTTTTAGGTTCATGTGTACTTCCTGCCTCAGAACTAGACCAGCCATTTCTCCATGAAACTCTTGTTTCTTTCAGTGGGAAATGGTATTACAGGACCATAGTCTGAGACCTTGAGATGCTCAGACTGACATAGGAATGCCTAATAAGTTCACATTAATATTTCCAATTCAAATTCAGGACTACAAGATTTTTCCTTAACCTCTTCTAGATTGTATACGTAGCTTCTGTCTTTCATACTGAAAATCCTGGCTCTCAAGGGCTCAGTGGATGACAAGACTTAGAATAGACCATGATTCCTTATTTACTTTACCCAATAAGCACACACAATGGTCTGAGAATAATACTACTACTAATACAACCAGAACCAGTATAATGTCTGAGAACAATTAAGAGTTTTTTTCATATGTTCTCTGCATTCTCCCCATTATATCTACATTGCCTGAACATGTAACCATCACATTTGTATTCTCTCCCTTTCAACCCTCATTTAGTTTTAGTTCAACAAGAAGCTATATAAGTATTGCTTGTTACCAGTCCTTATGTCAATGTCCCTCTAGTTCTTCTGTTGTCAGAAGCTTGTTTTCTAGAATATTCTTCAGGAAGGGCTCATTCAAGGAA